AGTGATTTCAAGGTTGTGATTGAGTGGGTTGGTGAGTATTCATTGACTGAGTAAGTAGGAGGTATTCACCCTATTTCGTTTAAGGTGATGAAGGTGGTACTAGAATTTTCCCACCATGATGTGAGGAGACGAAGCTTCCAAATACAAAAAATGAGTAAGTACGACTCACAGTGAATTAGTAAGTTATTGAGTCGGTGGTGGGTGAATAAGTCAATGAGAAAGTGAATAGTTGCTTGAGTTAGTAAGTGATTGTTTGGCTAGGCGTTGAGCTCTGACTATAGATTCTTACGAACAAGAGTCATCGGCGCATCACTCAGTTACCACAATCAATCCTAGCTTATATGAGAGATATTCAATATATTTCGATAAAGGTGATAATGAAGCTGGTAGTTGAATTTTTCCCACAATGGTATGAGTAGACCCTACATGTCCATTAAATTTCACATAGTCTTGCTTTCCCCAAAGGTGTTCTCGCACATGGTTGCATAGGTCTCATCAACAGCCCACCCTAACCAGTTCACAGGGTCACATGATGGTGCGACGAGGACTTTTTAGTACAATCCGAAAGTCTTTCCTCCACGGAAATCAATACTTCTCTAATATTGGGTGAGGCAATTCCACGAATTTCATTCAACCAAGTCAAATTACACTAATTTACACAGGGAGTCTACGAAATACAGCTTCTCTTCGTTCATTTGTTTGAATGAGCAGAAGCCGCTTGCTTGTGTGGCTGATGCGATGCGGAACGAGTAGTCATTGTCTCTATCTGGTCAGTTTGGATCTGATACTCCTATTGGTTTAAACTACAACTCAAAAGTCTAGCCAATCCGCCAGCCAGGTGTTACTATCTTAGCTAATCAGCGATGCAATCATGCCATCCTTTGGTGTAGCTTGCTATTTAAACTAAAATAGGGTATTTGACCTCCTCATCGCCGTCCTCATTTACCGCTATCCCTCTCGTCCCCTTCTCTTCCGTTTTTGCCCTGACATGCAGGTCTTTTACCTCGCCCTCATATTCTCCGTTAAATCTTTTCTCCTTCTCCAGCCTTTCAGTAGCCCTACGTTTGCGGATCAGGGTGTAACTGATGTAATGGATCGTTCAAATCAATCTGATACAAGCAACAACTATAACTCTTCCGAAATCGGCCTCAGCTATTTGACCTCAAACAACACGGCTAAAAGGACCGTAGCCCCTACCACCGGAGCCTCTACCACCGGAGCCTCTAATATAGAAAATTCTACCATCGAAGCCACTACGACTATGGTCCCTACCACCACATCGTCCACCATTACAGCCTCGCAGTTACCTATTATTAGCGAGTGGTTTTGTCCCTAACCCTAGATTTGGGCTTGCTCCAGCCGCCATTCCCTACGGTCATCGTTAGCATGAAGATGAGAGAAGTGCCGAATCGCCATCTGTTATTTACACGAATCTATTATCGTCATGATTCAATTGGCAGACTTTCATCACACTATTAATGCACAGTGTTTATCCCAATTTTGTATCATTTAGGTACTTTGACTCTCGAGAGTGTGGAAGCCGTCGAAAAGTTAACAAAAATATCAGAACTTCCGACCGACTTGTTCTCAGACGAGAGCTTTCTCGAATTACGCTACAACGATTCGATGCTAACTGGAGTTGGTAAGCACCCTGCCTATTACTTTATATAGATTTTTTGTCTTTGACACAGTAACCTAACGCTTGAGTGCGGCCAAGACTTGACTTTATGTTCCCCCTTGATTTTCCTTCTTTGGCTTAGCCTTCCGGACCATGAATACCGGTCCGTCTCTGCGACAAAAAGCTCAATGCCACAGCCAGATTCCG